TCCCATCCCCTCCTGTACCCTGCCTCGGACTAAAGGGGCTGATGATCCTTCAAAATTAATTAGATCCTTGTAGGAAGCAGCCATTTTCTTTCACTCGCTAATACAAGAGAGAGCGAGAGGAAAAGACAAAAAAAAAATTATGAAATCTAACTTAATTCCACATGTTTATCCCCCTGTCGTCCCGCCATATTGATTCCTTCTGCCGTGTCTCTCTACCTGTTTTCTTGTTTAATCAACTCTCCCTGTCTTTCACTCCACTCCTCTATTTATCTGTCTGTGCCCCCCTCCCTCTCTTACTATAAACCTTCCCCAACAACCCCCACTCACCCCCTACGCCTCTTCTCTCCCTCTCTCTCTCTCTCTCTCTAGCTGCATCTCCCAGCTCTGTGTCTGCCTCTGTGGAGTTTACTGTCAATAAAATCCCCAGAGGTCAGTTTGTCTGCTGGAAATCAGACACAATGCTTCAGACCGCCCCAATGCAATGCATGCTCGGCTGCTGCCACCACAACAAAGGCTGAGGAGGGGCGGAGGATGAGGGAGAAGGGGAGGGGAGACAAAAAAGGGAAGAAGAAAAAAAAGGGAAAAGGAAATTAAGACAGGACGAAGATTGCAACTCCACCAGCCAGACTCCAGGTTAATCAGCTGCCTGCGTTAAGGTGACGAGCTGCTGAAATACGCTGCATCGAATTGGACATTAGTTAATCAAGAGGGTGGGGTGAAGGGTGTGGGGTGTGTGTGGGGCTGAGGGGTTAAAACGGCGAGGATGGGGGATGGGGTTGAGAACGAGACACATGAGGCGCGATAATAAAAAAGGAGCAGTATCAGCCCATGTGAATAATGTACATGTTGAATATGCAAATACACAACCACGAGCATACATCCCAGGCCCCTGGTCCATTTAAAACCTGGAGACAAAGGGAGGGGCCACGGGGCTTTACGGATTGCCCAGGTCCATGCTCGTGCATGCGGCGTCTTGACGAACCCCGACGCAGATTTTTTTGCGCTCATCGAGAGCGCTTTGTGTTGTATCTTATTAGGAAGAAGTTGGTTTGAAAGCTCCCCTGCCTCACAGTCGCTGCTCCAGTTGTAATAATTGATTTCAATTTATTCAGCCCATACAAATTTGCATGCAAACAACCAGAAATCAGGCTTTACTCTAGTGTGATCTAATGCAGTTCAGCTCATAGTCTAAATACGAAGCAAGGCCATTTGGAAATGTTCAGCAATCATCAAGCAATGAAGTGCAGATTGGATGAGAGATAACTGAGGGTGTGTTTTGATAAAGTACACTATGTTCATTTTAATCCTCGAGCACCACCGTTACAGACACAAGTCATTGTTGTCAACTTTTCTAAAATACACATGCACACAAAATCTAATTTAATATCAGCTGAGGGTGTTGTATCCTGGTGTCCTTCCACACAATAAAAAATAAATAAAATAAAATAAAAAATTCATCTCCGGCCAACAAAGTTGTGATTGTTGATTAAATTGGAGTAATTCAGAGCGCCGTGCCTCTTACGACCTTTGAGTGTTTTTTTTTATGCCATGAAGCACTTATCACTTAAGTAATGCATCTAACTTGTGTACACCGCAGGGAAAGATGCACAAAAAAAAAAACATCCTAGTAAGAAGATTTAATTGATTTGCCTTTACAGCAGACACTGGAAACTATATCAACAAGCACATGTAAGCTTCTGACGAGTGGAGCTAACATGTTCACACAACTTTTTTTTTTCATTCGGAGCGCCGCTCTTGGCCGAAACCTTAGAGTGCGTAATTTAAATGTACATATAAAGCAACTACAACAAGTTCAAAGTGAACAGAATAAAAATATTCTGACTCTAATCATGAAGCATGTTCATGAACTTTGAACTGGATCTTCTCCACTCAAGCTACCCCGCCACCCCGCTCTTGTTCTAAGAAGCAATTACACCATCAGAAATGTCGTGACCACTGCTCAGTTGAAATACATTGTGTCTGAGCGTTACTGTGCATCAGCAAAAATGTGTTAACTTCTTAAATGAACCTAAATTTAATCTGACTGTTCGCGATTAGTTCCCCTGCCAATAAAACGTCTCAAACAGGAGAAAAAAATAAAGCAGATTAATTTGTGAAGGCATTCGGTCCAACAGAAAGGCACTCATTGTGACAGGATGTGCGGCTTTCAAATAAATTCCTCATGCACACAAATAATAAACACGGCAGTACCATTAGGCAATATGAAGACTGGCTGAAGAATTTTATTTTTTGACAGGACAGCTTGTTTCACCCTCGTCATTTTCTGGCATGAACACGTGCGACATAGAAGACTCATTGTGCTTATACAGATGGGATGATAATCAACTCCTAGTATTCTTTTTTAAAAGTCAAGAGCCCACAAAAACACTAAATTTTGCTTCTATAAGTAAATTTACACCCTGTGTTTAATGAAGGCTCCAATAATAGCAGAAAGAGAGAAAAAAAAAACAAGCAGCCACAGATGGCACACAGCCATTAAATAAAAAAAAAACTGTCGCTTTGGTGACGGAACAGAAGCTTTTGGGGAAAAAAAATCTCAAACTTGGCAAATGGTTTTGCTTTTGTTAATGAGCGTTTGACCAAAAAGAAACATCTGACCACTCATGCGAACGAGTCCAAAACACCTCTAACCCCTCCGAAGCAGATAATGCTAAATTCAAGAGTTATCATTTAGGCACAAGAGTCTGCAGCAACTGCCTCTCTACAGCTACTACACACGTCGAGGACGTTTTGGCTCTTCAACACGAGACCTCGCAGGTCATTGAGAGATCTTCATGAACCTGCACAGAAGCCCGTGTAGGACGTTTCCAACCATTACGAGTTATTGCAGTAATGAGTGCTTAATTTAGTTTGGCAGCAACGAAAGTGAAAAAAAAATATAATAATAATAATATGGATAAATTAAAAGCCTAGAATTTCTTGAAGGGATAACCTGGTCACATTTCATGCCAGAGATTTTAATGGGGAAGGGATGCTTTGGTCCAGCTTTGTAAATGCCATTGTGCCTGATCTTAATGATATGTTGAGAATAACTCTCGGCTACTACCATACCAAAATTAGCTCAATATCTGTACAAATGGCTGAGTCATAGCTGTTTTTGTGTTGGCTAATGTCAATTAGCTGGGGYGGCCATCTAGATTTGGGTTGACTCAAACAGTCGTACATGTACTTCCTGAAATCTAGTAAACTTTGCCAGTTTTTTTAGAGATGATGCCAACAGACAATGATGACTTTAGTAGTTAATGGCAAAGTTTTCTAAATAGATCTTGTGTGATTAGTTTGTGCTTTAAGTTAGGGGTGGGCGATACTAGATTGTGACATATCATAAGATTGTCTAGAACAGAGGACACATTATATCTGTTGTAGGGTCTGAATATTTCCACTACTTTGTTGGATTAAAATAGAAGTTACTGTAAAATGCAAAACAAGACAAAATTTAATCATTTGTGGATTTTTCTTAATCTGAGTGTTTCTCACATTTTGACGTTCGAAACGAACAAGACTTTTTTGGCCGCTGCAGGCTCCTGTAGTCTCCTGTCTCTGTGATGTGACGAGTTGAGGGGAGCAGCTTACTGTGAGTCCTCGGCAGCCTGCAGGCATCCAGAAAATATGACATKTAACACTAAACATGTTTAACAGCAGAAGAATGTCTAAATCGAATTTATAAACAACCGCTGAGTGAGCGTTGTCGGCACATAGTTGACTGCAAACACAAGAAAGTGTGGGATGACCCAAATAACCAGTCATATCAAAAGAATGTGGAGAGCTAACATTAGCTTATCAATTAATCTAAACCATCCACGTGACATCGGCACATTGGCAGAAACGTGATATGAGTTTTATTACGGACTTTGTAGATGTACAGTATGTGYGGAATAAGATATGCTGATACATAAAAATAATAAAATTATATCTGGTAGAGGGAATACTTTACACAGTATAGTTTCAATCAGTCTGGAAGTTTTCTAAAAACTTCTGGTGAAGAAAATAAAATCATTGTAAACAAAACACCTTATCATCTTCAAATATAATAAAATTGTTTTGCACTATATTGTTTGTAYTAATTATGAAATATATTGTGATTTTTCACTTATATGTCAAGTAAACATTGACAAAATCTATTCAGAAACAGCTGGCCTAAATGCTCTTATGTAATTTATATGAGGGTGGGGGACATTTACAAAAGAAAAACCTTTGGTTCCAATTATCAGTAACTTAAAAATAATACAAAACACCAATAGATRAATTTAATGTACAACTGTGATAACAAATGTACTGTGAAAAACTGCCATGTGATAATTTTGCTATACTACCAGTATCTGAAGTATGTGGGTAGTGTTGGGTACAGCTAACCAAAAACTACCACTAATCCACTAAACAAGAATCTTAGCTACTCTAATGCTACTACTGCACAGTCACTACTGCAGTCAGTCACACATGGTCTTAATATTGGACTTACATAAATTCCAAACATCCCCATTAAGTTTCTTCAAACGATGCAGAAGCGGTGGTGCGAGTGATAAAAAWAACCACTCACAATACACGCGGCAAGCTAAGCTATAAAACACCAGTAAAMMYACCAACCTTTTGCTTTCCAAGTCTGTCGAAGACCTCGACCCTCCAGCCAACCTTTCAACTGAACTTTCCTGTGATTCCTGAAGTCGGAAGTGTTGAAATTTGCTCTAGGTATGTCTTTTTCTGTTACGGTATTAACACTGACTCTCCGTWGAATCCACTCAGATCATTTGAGCGAGTGGCAGATATGTGTAAATGATATGCATGACATCACAAGTGAAGGTCCCCATTGGTTCCCTAATGGTTTCCCAAGTTAGAAATAAAGCTAATCCGCTACATAAGAAGCTAGTTTTACTATTAGCYGAACTGTGCCCAYCACTGGTTTTGGGAATCACATCCAGCTACAACAGCACCAAATACTAGCTCTATATCTGCAAAGCTGTCCRAGTTATAATTATTCTTGTGTTTGCTAAGGTTSCTTGGCTGTGGCAGCCATCTTGAAYGGGGTCAAGTCCAAAAATAAATCAGTCATAGATGAACACTGAGCGATCATACTCTGAACATTTTATTCGAAATCATCCAGTGGTTCATGAGATACGTGTCTTAAAGCTACAGACAACCAAACACACACATGCACAGGCAAAAGCAAAAACATTATCGCTGGTTCGCCTTCTGCAGCGAGTGATAACAAACAACACAATAAGGAGAATCTCACTAAGTCCACTTTTCTGCACAAGACGGCTGCAGCTCCTTCATATCAAACAAAGGAGGCAAAGTGTCTCCTGACTTTCTGTCCTTGGAAGATTAACCAGCAGAGAAGACACTTTGTGCTGATTTATTACAAGACAGTGTGAAGATTTTTGGTAATGTGCTGTAAAGAMCAGCACATAGCCTGAACGTGGTAGAAGTTAGGTGCTTATTAGACACCAGAGACACGAAGACTGAATGTACTGCTGTGTGCGTTTATTTAGAGAACAAGAAAACAAAAATATATATACTGTATATGTGGTTGAAGACATTTTTATACTCATGTRTCATAAACAACACAATGGAGATTCTTTTTATACTCAAACAAAGCTACAGTTGTGGCAAACGGCAGYATGTCAAATAAGTAAACCTGTTTTTATATGTTGTGACTACAGACACCTACACATCAGGTCATTAGAGGTAACGTAATCACCTGACCTGTTGGCGAGTACAGAAGGAAATTTACTTGAATATAGCACCTAGCATAAACCTGATCATCAGCAGGCTCAGGTGTTTGGTGTTTCACAAGCAGGTGCCCAAAAGGGCACAAGCCGGTGGACACTYGTGCAGCTCCTGGCAAAGAGCTCAACAAAGTCACAGGAAATCAAGCACAACCCTGCTGTTTTAATCTTTTAAAAAGTTTGTGTTTTACAGTCCGGCTACGTGGCCTCCTTCGCAGAATCTAGAAAGCTCTATTTAAAACATTCATTAGGTYATGAAATGGTACGCCACAAAACAGTCCGTTTGCTGCGTCGCAGCAAGAAAAAGAAAAAAAGAGAGAAAGAGATTGCAGAATGAAGTTGCAAATAAGTTTTATGTTGCAACACATTTCTGCTCAACACATTTACGATAACAACCCAAATACCACCCGGCTAAGATAAAACTGTGATTCTATTCAAGTGAATTTACTATATAATCAACAAACAAGTGCAGATTTGCCTCAATATGTGAGGGAGACATCAAATCCAGGGGACTTAATAGAGACACTCTGTGCTTATTTTGAGCCATATGGATGTTAGCACTGTTTGGTGTATTTATAGTTTGGCAAGCTGTTGTGCAGTAAATACAGATTATATATGTCTCCTCAGCTCATTTGACATATGACCCATCTAAAAGTGTAATGCTGATGCACTGAAACACAATCGACCACAAGAGTGCCCTATACGCACTACCACCAAGTTGCTCCAGTGGCCTGCAGGCTGAACGGGTGACATTATAGAAGACAGAATCTAATGAATTAAGCAAAAGCTGGCATGTAGGCAGAGGTTTTCTGTTATTCTAACAAAGTGGGGCAATCTGACCACRTTGGGAAACTTTATCCATACAATGCCGTGTTGCAAGACAAACTTAAGCAGGATTTCACAAGAAATGCGAGAAAGGCCAAAAAAGATTTCACCCCTCTCCAGTGACACAGCCGTCCAACTGTAGTAAAGGCAAAGTGAAAGATATTATTCGGACAGCAGAGCCGAGAGAAATGTCTGTGCAGCACTTTGAATATGTAGATGAATCACGTCCCATAAAAATTAGGCTTTATAAGGACAATAAGGTCATTAATCTACAGTGTGTCAGCTCTTATTTGTGACATGTAATGTAACCTTATTGTAAAAAAAAGACAGAAATGAACACAATCACAGCACACCCTGTGAGAAAGCTAATAAAATCATAAGAATGTAGATTAAGTCTCTAAAATTAGAATAAAAAAATATTTATGAGCTACCAAGATGTATTCACTTCATGTGTGAACGTGTGATTCTTTCATCAACAAAGTAAAACCGAGAGACATATTTTCAGTAATACTGTATTTTCAAAACAGTTTTTTTTTTTTGCTAAATGCCTTCAGGGCTTTTGTTTTTGCTTTGCTGTATACCATTGTGTTTATGTTTTGTTTGCAGAGATGTTTGCCTTTAAACCTGTTAATACTGGCTTCTAGCACTGACAGCAGAGTAAACTATGTTGGGTTTGGAGCTGTCTTTACATATTATAAGACGTGTACACGCAAAAACTGAAAAATTAGAAGCTGTMAAAAAAATTTGAAAATTAAAATCCGATTTTTAAATTCAGACTTTTCAGTCTTTCAAATGACATTTCAGATTTTGTTTGATTCAAAACTCTTATAYATATGTCGATGTATTTTACTTATTTATGGTTGTGTGTTTAAAATAAAATATCTATATGTAACAAACACATTTCCTCTTCTCTTTGAAATCCTTTTTTTTGCATAATTACTCTATTTTTGTTTCAGGCTACATTTAGCTTTTAGCTAMAATTTTGCTAAATTTTGCCAATGATTTGCTAATTTTGGCTTTGCCTCTAATTTTGCTAATTCAAGCCTTTAAATATGCAAATTTTAACCTTTTGCAACAGTTTTGCTCATTTAAACATTTAGCCATGGTTTTGGTAATTGAAGCTTTTAGTAGTAGCTTTACTAATTTTAGCTTTTCGCTGAGTTTTGCCAATATTTCTTTATAACTAGTTTTTCTAATTTTACTTTTTGCTACAATTTTGCTAGTTTTAGCTATTAGCTATATTTTTGCTACATTTAGCTATTGTTTTATTAATTTTAGCTTTACCTATGGTTTTGTTAATATAAACTTTCAGCAATGCAAATTTTAGCCTTTYGCTATAAATTTGCTAATTTAAACTTTTAGCTATAATTTTGGTCATTTAAGCATTTAGCAGTACCTTTGTTAATTGTAGCATTTAGCTAGATTTTTCCCATATATGCTTTAAAATCAGTTTTACTAGTTTTACTTTTAGCTACTGTTTTACTAGTTTTAGCTTTTAGCCATGGTTTCGCTCATTTAAGCCTTTATCTAGAATTTTGATAATTGTAGATTTTAGCTTCTGTTTTGCTTGTTGTATTTTCAGCAATTAATTTTCCAGTTCAACAAATTTCAGAAAAATAATTTAGCACTCAGCGTTCACACAGCATTTTTGCAAATAAGTGACAGAAAGACAAAGTAGCCTACAAATTATTTTTGATTTTAATCAATGATTTTACTATAATCAAGTATTTTTACTGTAGTTCTTTAATTTTTCTGTATTTCACCATTTGCTTTATTGTTTTTATATCTAAAATGTTATAGTCCTGTAAAAATGTATTACTGAAGAACATCAAAGTTGCTTTACATTTCCAATACACTTGGTGACAGCTGTTGGTTTCTTGCACTGTGTCACCACCAACAATACAAGACATTTCTCACCATCACTGCACTTCCTATCATGGTCTGTTACTGTTTAGGCTGCCTTCTGATGTGTTCTGTGAACAGGAACAGTGACTACAGAGTCACCTCATAAAGCAGAGAGATAAAATAACCACCCACTTGTT